AAAGTAAAAGGAGCCACACTTGGCTTGACCTTCACACAAACAGAGCCTGTTTGTTCTGTTGTGTGGTGCTGAACTGGCAAGACAGAGCCGCGCTATCAGGAAATGGAGGGAAGAGAGAGCCAAGACTCTTTTATGCTTCTCTTGAATCTGTGTTCGCTCGCTCTCACGTCCTCGTATACGCTCAAACATATGTGTTTATTTTATGCGCTTTAAAGGCATCCGAGCATGGCTGCAACAAGGGCAGTTGGCACTCAGCGCTCCCATTTGTACGGTGCCTCTTCATATTCTTAAGCGCTGTGGCAGCTGCACAGCAGAAACATGCACACAGAGGGACATCCGTCATAAGTAGCAGATATAACCGTCATCATTTCTTATTCATTGGCGCTCTGCTGGAGTCCCTCGGCCGCACTGTTAAATGCATGTGGCGTCTTTCCTGATTAAAACAGGAACGTGTGAAAGATGTCAACAGAAGATGATAATAAAAGTCTTTAATACTGGTGGATCACGAGGCTGCGTAAAGATCATGTTACTATTCCTGTGAAATCTTTAATCTCAGGGGAATCCCTCTTATCGCTTCAGTCTCGCACTTCTCGTACTGTACACCCCCCTCTTCTGCTCCGTTCTGCTTTTACATCAAAGCAACAAAGAAAACCTTTGAGAGCCAATCATATTAATGTCCAGTCAGACTCTTGGCTCTAATGGACAGGAGGGAGGGCGGGAGGAGACGGGGGGGAAAAGGGGAGGCTGAAAACCCAGCTGAGCGCACACTGTAAGAGGCCAGCTGGTCCCAGGCCAGACCCACACTCTCTTATGGTCTCTGAGAGTGTGACACACTGAACCACACAAACAGAGGATCTGTCAGTCTGACAGAAACACAGACAGACTGATGAAGCTCTGAAGTCTGCATCCGACTGGGACTGGGAGGAAACATGGAGTCCCAAAACTGCCAAAGCTCTCATATGAATGCCAGCGCAAAAGACGCTTTTGTTCCTTTGTAATAGAACAAAGAAATTATCGATACAAGCTTCACAAAGCTGCTTTTATAATGATATGATGACACGATAATGACATTTACTGTACAGTAAAGATTTGAAAGACGAAGAGCTTTGATGAGTAATTTGAATCTGGAGAGGCAAATGCATTCTCGAAGGTGTTTGGGGAGAGTTCAAGAGGGAGGGGGTGGCTACGGAGAAGGCTCTGTCGCCCAAGGTTCGGTTCTTGGTCCTGAAAGGTGGAGTCAGGAGGTTGGCATCAGAGGAGCGGAGGCTGCGGAAAGGACTGTGGCAGTGAGGCAGGTCAGTGAGGTAGGAGGGGGCCTGATTATGCAGGGCTTTGTGGATGAGGAGAAGGGCTTGTTGTGGGACAGGAAGCCAGTGGAAAGTCTAGAGAACAGGGGTGATGCAGGAATGGGTGACGGGCAGCAGAGCTCTGGATGTTTTGGATTGTGTACCATGAAGAATGCCGTTACAGCAATCGGTTCTGGATGTGACGAAGGCATACTTCTGCGCTAGTATGAAATGCACATGTCTAAGTTGAACGTAGGATGATAATTCTATTGCCAGTTTATTAGGTACACTTAGCTGAAACAACTACAGTCTGATACAACAGTCCTTTGATAATGCCTTTGTGAAGGTTAAAATGTTCATTTTTGGTTTAAAAGTGTTGATTCAACTTTAAACTAATCATTTTGCAGGCTGTATTTTTTGGTGCTGTTGAATTGTGTTGTGTCGGGAGGTGTTGCAAATATATCTAGTCCTTCCCCACTGATGCTAATGCTACAGGCGAAATACGAAAAGTTAGTACTAACGAAACTAATGAAAAGTTAGACACATTTGAGACAGACGGATGGATGTGTGAATATCTCCCTTTGAATTAAAAAGAAATTAACAAAAGCAAAATGCACGCAGAAAACTTGAGTGCTCACGCTACTTATGTGTAAATTCTGCATTTCTCTGAACGCACATTTAGAATCTCTTTTGTTTTTCTATAAAATCAGGTAGAACGGTTTCACGTTTGATGACTCATCCTACACTCAGGGGCGTTTACAGAAGTTTATCCAACCAAATGAGACTCTTGACGACAAGCGAGCCACACTGGTCATATAAAAGGTGGCACGGTGGTATGGTGGTTAGCACTGTCGCCTCACAGCAAGAGGGTTCCTGGTTCGATCCCAGACTGGGGAGCCCTTCTGTGCGGAGTTTGCATGTTCTCCCCGTGTCAGCGTGGGTTTCCTCCGGGTACTCCGGCTTCCTCCCACAGTCCAAAGACATGCAGGTTAATTGGTGACTCTAAATTGTCTGTAGGTGTGAATGTGAGTGTGAATGGTTGTCTGTCTCTATGTGTCAGCCCTGTGATAGTCTGGTGACCTGTCCAGGGTAAACCCTGCCTCTCACCCAATGTCAGCTGGGATAGGCTCCAGCCCCCCTCCCGCGACCCTCAAGAGGATAAGTGGTTAGAAAATGGATGGATGGAAAAAAACTTGAAACCATTTTTTAAAAATGAAAGTATACAATATTATTGTGATTTTAAACAATATGCTTAGTATTGTGACCAAATATATTTCAAGATATTACAATTTATTACCATTTTTCCAACTGCAAATTATGATAATTTTTTCCTAACCTCTAAGGTTCATGTATTCATAACGTACCAGTATTATGAGCATTATTCTGCACTTCTGGTTTCATGCTAAACTGCATTTCGTTGTCTTATTTCTGTCCTTTTTCTGTCTTATTTCAACAACAAACTCAACAATCCAGTGCAACAATTTGACAACAGCCTGCTGACCTGCTGATTGTCAAAACTTAATTGTTGCTTGGCAACAGAAGTGATGAGAAACATCTGCATTGTCCTGAGACGTACTGTACATTTCAGCTCCTCTTCGATCAGGCTCTGAAGCACTGGAGCACGACAAAGTTTTTCTTTTCAGTGCTGTGATTACAACCTTCACTGCTTCACCAGACGAGAGGACATTGACATTATGGTTTGGCTATATGCTATCGACAGTCACACACACACACATACTGTACACACGCCTGACCATATAGAACACACTCAAGGTTACAAAGGGTTACTACTGTCCAGGAGCTAAAACTAATCCACGCCTGGCTGAGCGACCCCGGACCCATTAACCCTCCATTTGTACAGCTGACCTCGCTCCCTGCCAATAGACTGGGAGTGAATGAGGAGGAGGGAGTGGCTGATTTGCGATGACACATCTTTGTTGTGGCTTCAGAAAGAATGTGATCCACACACACACACACACACACACGCTCTGCTCTTTACAGCATCGTCAAGCACGCAACGGGTTCAAGCTAATGGACTTCAAAGGGTGTCAGAGGGGCAGGAGGGGGAGCAGGGGGTCAGGAGCCTCAGAGGCAGGGAGGGGAAATGACTGCAGTGAAACAGACGCTCTGTTTCATGTTGGGGGAAGATTTAGATGAGTAAAAATACAGTTACAAAACTGAGAATAAGACAAATATTACATTAATGTTAGTGCTATTCAAGGTTGTGATTCTAAGGAATGTTATCAACGTGCCTTTAGATGAGTGGAAATTACTCAGATTGTTGTGGATAGAAACTAAGAGCTGATGCTGAAAACAGAAAATCACACAAACTGCCTTTATTGGACCACTTTCTAATGCGGAGCCTTTCACAAATGGTTTCTAAGATACAGGAAATGGCTTTATTAACACTTATTTACTAACACTTTACAGATCAGTTAAAAGGGCAACTGCTGAGAGCAAGTTGTGGTTTGGTTAGTCGTATTTTAACCCCACGATTTTGCTCTTCTAAGGAGTATATAAACATTTAACTCTTATCAAACATCTCTTCTCACACTTCCTATTATCAAAGAGCAGTGGATAAAACATTTAGTTAACAGCTTCCTATTTTTAACTGATGCTGAACGTTGCTTTCAACTGTTAAAATGACCAGTTTGGCTTTTATCTGATTAACTCTGCAGCTGGTGTCTGTGTCCAGCCACAGACTGTTTTTGAGTGAAGACACGTCACTGTGTAAAACTGCAGTACGACCCAGAGTTAGTGGGCCTGCTGTGTGTTTTAGTAGTTCAACAGAAACCAACAGAGCAGTGGTTCCCAACTGGTCCAGCCACGGGGTCCAGATTTCTCCTTAGTCATTAATTTAAGGTCCACACAGTTCAGTATATTCAGCATCAAACTTGTGTTTGGCCATGTCATCAGCTCGTTTTCTATCTCTGTTAAGTAGCTGTTCGTCAGTCACTCACTCTACAGCAGGAAACTGCACTTTTAGTTGAAAGCTCTGTGCCAGAAATTCACTGTACTTCAATATAAAGTGTGTTTTTTACAAAGTTGACACGTTCGTGAGTCGCCTGCGGTCCATTCAGAATGGATCCCCGACCCACTTTTGGATCGCAACCCACCAGTTGGGAACCACTGATTTAATGCACATTTTAAATGCAGAGTAGAGGCGTCAAAAACCTCTAGTTCCTACAGGACGCGAACCATGGCAGAAAAATGGCTACATCCCCGCAAGATCAAACACCGCAAAAGTTAATAAAGGACGTGTTGAAAACTACAACCGGAGGTGGTAGGGTGGGACTTCAGCGGGTGGCTCGTTCCGCTCAATGAGAGGCTGATCTATACAGCGAACTTCCACCCACTCAGACTAAAGGGTGCCTAACTAGCAGTACTTAACTGCACACTTTGAGGCATTCTTCAAACATAAAGCCTTATTAAAAGACAGTGAGTGTATTTTTTTACTATTTCTTCAGAGATGTGAGACAGTGGACAGCTTCACAGAGACAGACAGACAGATTTAGTGATGTGTGACGGAAGTAATCCACGTGGAATCAGTTCAGCTCAACTTGACCCTCTGTGTTGCTCTAGAGGAAATATGGGACCCTAGTGAGACCTTAAACTGCCAGTAAATGTTGGATGATATCACTGCGCTGCTCCGTCTAATTCCGCTGTACGAGGCGGACATGTGGGTACAGTGTGGGGAAGAGCAGGCTGACTTACCATGTGGTAGTTGATGATTTCCTGGAGGCTTTCACCGCACTTTTCCAGGCACTCCTGCAAAGAAAAAATAACATTCTTCTTTAACCAGATAAAACATGAAGAAATACTCTCAGCTGCTGTATTTGCATCTGAGCGTAAATAAAACCTGTCAAAAACTAAAACCAAAATTTATTTCTAAAAGGAAGAAAATAAAAAGTTCTGTGATGCTAAAATAAAGCTGGTTAATGTCAGCTGAGGTAAACTGGAGGATTTCTTCTTCTGAACCTCATACAGGAAAAGAAACTGTAATTGCAGGGCTGTTTCAGTTTCTTTTTTTTTCTGTACAATGGAAACTACAAATAAGAACAAGACTTTAATAAGAAACTCTCAATTAGTCTTACAGTTGAGGCCAAGAAGGCTTTTAATAGCACTTAATGTCAGCAGCAATGAAAATAGTCAGAGACGCTGGTGCTGCGAGCCGAGCCAGAAGTAAAGTTTCCAGGCCGGATCTGATGCTCACTTACTAATCTGTTAGTAATCAGGTTTACTCACACACACATACAGAGACGCATACGGAGCTGTGAGGCTAACACCCAAAGACAAGGAAAGTCCTCGTCCCAGGAGACACTTACGGTTAACAGTCCTATCCACTAAACAAAAGACGAAATATGACATAAAACCACAATAAAGTTCAATTAATAGAAGACGAAATGGACTCGTCAGAATCTCACCGAGATCGTTTCATCCTTCTTGCACTGCTGAGACAGATCCCGGATGCCGTTGACGAAGAGCTTGTTGGCGCTGGCGTACGCCTTCCCCGCTTCAATCATCCCACTGCATAGCTTCACCAGCTGTGGAGAAGACAGACACATTTTGAGGAGGACAAATTAAAGATGCCATGCTCACCACACACGTCATATTAATGTTCATGTCAAAGCTGAATATGGCAACTTTTATTAAAATAACTTAAGTCATATTCACTTAAACTGTCACTAGATCCTGACAGTCGTACATGAGACAGAACATCTGTAACAAAAATCATGTTCCTCTGTTACCTCTTAGTACTTAATGGCATTAGCATCTACTGCCTGTGAAGGCCGAGAGGTCTTTAATACAGCCGAATGTTTTAATGCGCTGTTCGTACGCCTACAAAAAGTAACACACCACAATCCCTGTATAACCCACGCAATCATGAGCAGTAATTTGCGTACATCCCATGTCATCGGGGCTGACAATCATGTGACCAATGTGCTGACGAGAGTGAGGAAGGAGGTAGTAGAAAGACCAAAAGTCTGTGTAAGGAGGCAGGTTCAGGTGGTGGATGGGTCAAACAATTAGTGTTGCAGTGGTAGGCTATACCAGTTTTAAGGTATTTGTACCTTGAAAGGGTACTAAGGTACCTTACATTTAGTTATTTTCAACAGGGGGACTGTTTGACTAACGAGACTGACGTCACAATGTTGATAGAATTCTGGAAAATAAATTAAAATCATATTTAGAGTAACGTTACTATCTGTAATTTTCCTGTATTTTATTTGGACCACTGGCTCCATGACACTAGCTTGCAGTTTGTAAATTACTTTATCAGCTGATGTTACAAAGTCAGCGGCAGATCCACGCAGCGTAGGTTTACTAGCTAGCTAGCTAACATTAGCTTAGGTTACAGTTGGCTTATTGTTGTAACTTAGCTATGCTATGTTGACTACATCGTAGCTGACAAAGTAAATTGCAAACCAGCCCTGGGAGTGTATATGAATAAGGCTAGCTGAAATAATCCATTTGATACAGTATTTTTTCAACATCTGCTAGCAATTCGTCTGTGTTAATAAGCAAGCTAACGTTAGCTAACATTAGCCTGCTAAAACCAATGTATTACACGTCAGTGTTTCTGCTTGGATTTTTTTCAACATCGGAGGTGGCACTGAAATTATGATATGGGGCACTGAATTTGATGAATTTACTGTTTATCACACCACAAATGAGACAAGAATTTACTTAGTGCACCCTGCTGTCCTTCTGCTTTACTTCCTGCCGCTTAGAGATTACCTTGCCCAGCGGAGAACAGCAGCAGCTCTGGAGATGGACCTTCAGTTACCGAATGTAACAGCTCAAATTCAGCTAGCGCAATCCTCAGCGGTAAATGAAGGTCCATCTCTGGGCTTCAACAGCTAAATGTAACAGAAACACAGCATGTATGGACTCCATTGCTAAGCTAACGTTAGCTACTGTTGCACACTGCAGCTCTGGAGTGGAGCTGTAGAGAGATGCAGCATGTCGATGGAGAAGTCTGCCTTATAGGCTTGTTAAGGTTTATCCCATGCTTTGGAATTGCCCTAAAAATTTGGGTCCTTTACATAGAGGTCAGCTTACAGGCTGTTACAGACAAACGACAATGTCAGGGAACATCTCAGTTTTTAAGTTACATTACAATCTGTTCACACATTGGCAATAAATAAAGAAACATTAGCTATGTTTTCATCCAAAAGTGATTTGAATCATTGGGAAATGCGCATTAAAAGAAATACGAATCCTGTGTGTTTCCATTAAATGTACAAACTTTGGTGAAAACTACGAACTAGCGCAAGTTTACCGCAGAACCGGAAACAAAACAAGTCTCGCATTCTTCTTCTTCTACGTTTTCTGGCGGTTGGCAACCAGCTTGTAAATGCATTTCCACCTTCCCGACCCAGAGTGTGGATATCACCATGGAGAGAGGTGTGCTATGTCAGACTTAATTCAAACATAACTGTTTCCATCCCCCATTTTGCGAATCAACATTTTTTCGAATCAACCAAAACCCGGCTAAAGCGAGCATATTTTAGTTTGTGCGAATCAGGGGATTTTAATTCGAATTTTGGCATTTCCATCATAATTTTCCGATGCGATACTTCTAGATGCGCATCTAAACAGGCTGATGGAAACATGGCTATTGATATATATATCAATAGCCATGTTTATGTAAAAACGTTACATAAAGAACCTTTAAGTATACTGTTCAGCTGTAAAATCATGAAGTTTGTGACCTGACTGCCATGTTGGAAACAGTTGAGCCAGAATGAAACAACGCCCAACAGCTGGGGCAACAGTACACTAAATTTGTTTCTGCAAACATTTGAGGTGAGAAATAAGCAATAGAGTAACAGATTCTTGATTCATATTTGATCAGCACTGCCTAGTTTGACTGCGGTTCACAAGCAGTGATTGACATGACAGCTGCATTAGAGAATCCTCGGCTCTGATTGTTTTTTTTAATTCAGCCATGCTGGATTCTTGCAAATGCCAGTAGAGGAACTACAAGGAGGAGGAGGAGGAAATTAATTTTTACCACATATTATCTGTCTCATGTAAACTGTGTGAAAGTAGTGACAGTTCCAGCAAATATGACACAAAGTTATTTTTATAAAAGTTACCAGCTGTAGCTTTAATGTTAGCAGGGCAGCAGTTAACATTGAGGGAATTTGGTGGGGTTTTTTTTTTATTTCCTCTCTTTTATGATCTAAAGTTAAACTCTACAGATGGATGAAATTAGAATCACACATGCACAGTACAAAAAAGTATAAGTGATCCCAGAAGTGCAGATGTTATCAAATTCAGATGCTACTAAGTGAGTGAGAGACGTGTAAGTTGTTAAATTGCCTCACTCCAGTCTTTTTGATGTTTATAAGAGGTCAAACACACTTTGACGAAGGAATAAATATTCAGATTAACAGTGACGACAACCCCTCCTGCATGGGATATGAACCATAGTGGAGATTTCCAACACTGATGGCAGTAAAAGAAGAACAGACTAATCCTGGCCCTCACGAACACATCCTGTAATTCAATGTAAAGAGGAGCAGATGGACCGGTGACACAAGCATTACAGGCAAAACATCTGGCCGCCTCATTACAGCTGGATGCTTGAAAGCCAGCGAGAGTGCCACGTCACGTTTCAGCCAACCTCCAGCTGAACTGTTTAACAGAACTGAGCCACATTACACTGTTCATTATGCTGCCAGTGGAGGCCAGCGATGTTAGCACACTGAGGGATTAAGCACTGCAGAGTATTATAATGCTGGGAGAGAGCAGCTGAGTGTAAAGGGTAAACTGTGTCTGATGTCTGGTACAACAAGAGAGGCTGTGACAGAATGTGGAGAACAACATACCAACATTCCTCCGTTGTTTTTAGCCATTTTTCATCCAAATTACAACTGTGTGTGGAATACACTCTGAAAACCAAACCTTTATCGTGCCCATAACCAAAAAATAATCTGAAGTTATCTCCAAATCAATTCTACACCTGTTTGATCAATTTAAAGGTATAATGCGCAGGAATCGTCAGTTAAAGATTACTTTATTTGTCCCTAGGAAAATGTGCCACATCAAAGATCACACACAATTAGTGCAGTAATAGATGTAAAGTGCACAGCAACGACAAGTGAAGACATAAATTGCATTGGGATACTTGCAACACAGCTCCTCATTTAACACCCTCTGTTTGTCCTGGGTTTAGTGAAAGTGAAAGCAAACCCCAGATTCACTCTCGATTTGTAACAAGTTTTGTCCACTTTGCATCGCTATATTTATAGGGTTTTTTTGGTGCTGTGTTGTAGGACTGTGCCATATCACCTCATTCACTATAATACCGGTATAATTTTTAATATGGTATTAAAAATACATATCGTGATTCTCGCAATATTTTGACTTGCTGACATATTGACGTCATACTGTTACCCACAGTAACAACAAGCATGTCTGAAAGCAAAATTATTACTGACTCTGCGGTGGTTCCAAAAAGAGGAGCAGCTTCAGTAGTATGGAATAAACTGTGGCATCCTGAATGTTTTATGAACAGCCCCGGACTTCTCAGACTCTTTTAGTGACTTACCGCTCAGAGGGAACTCATTCAGCGGCTCCTCTGGCAGCAGCACAGTGTCTCTCCCTCTCCTCTCTTGCCGTGTGCACACGGGAGTCAGTGAAGTGATTTTGTCATAAACCTTTATTAATGTAAACCTGCGTGACGCTCATGGCTCAACAAAAACTACATATATGTGAATGTGCGATAGTTCTGGTATCATAACAGCCTATCGCAGGTTACAAACAAAAGAAATGAGACATCATTTTTGTTTAGTTTTTACTAAATATTTGAAGCAAACTGTAAAACTATTTCACTTATTTTGTTGCACTTTAATGTTTTTAAATTGATAATACATTTTTTTCTTAGTAATTTGTCATATCGCCAAGAATATCGTTATTGCAAAAACACCCTGATAAATTGTGATATTATTTTTAGGGCCATATCGCCCACCCTACTGTGTTAGCGATTTTGGAAACTCCCTCTTTGATTCGTGCTGCTTAGGATCTGGCACCTGGTTGCTACCTTTTTATAAAGTCCAGTAGACAATACAGCATCTGAAGAAAAACGCACCTCCACACACCTCTAGTGGGTCATAAGTGATGATTAAGAGGGATTACTTTTGTAGACGCTGTTTCTTTTGGAAAACCCTGTAAAGTATACCTTAAATACCTGAAAACCTAACATATCAAAAATGTCCAGAGCTTCTAAAAAAACCCTCCGTGTTTCCAATTTATAATTTTCCAACTATGTACACCAAGGCATTGGCAGCGACAAAATCTTGCATATTTAACAGGCAGAAGGAACAACATGGATACCTTCATTAAACTGAATGTAAAGCTTTGGCACAAGTAATTCTTGACATCCTTTTGTGCACTGGTGGGCTCTTCCAAAAGATGCTAAGGTGAAATCGGGGCAAAGCAAAACATAGATATTATATCGATATCATGAAATGTGACAGATGTCGTCCTAGATTTTGGATATCATAATATCCTAAGTGTTGTCCTTCCTGGTTTTAGAGGCTGCATTACAGTAAAGTGATATAATTTTCTGAACTCATCAGGCTGTTCTATTATTTGTCTCAAATATGCAGGTGAGCAGATCTGAGAAACTTAAATGCATTAATTAGCACATTTATTAATAACATACAGAACATGACTTGTAAAACAGTCACGTTCACACCTGCATCACTGAACAGGCCGTCATGTGTGTAATATTTAGGCTTTATGTGTCAGCATGATTTTACAATTCTATTTGTCAGCTTGACAACAATATTTACTGTTCTGCTCATTAAACTTCTGGCCACACCTCAAACAGCGATGCCTTCAGGTGCGCTTTAAAACCAGGCTGGCTCAGAGTTGTAGCTGATGGGCAAATTCAGCACATAGAGAAGCAGATGGCCTGAACTCAGCCGCCGGCTTGTAGAGCAATAAAACTGGCATGTACCAACAGCATGAGTTGGCATGGCTGCACTTAAATGGCTACGTTACTGTATTGTTTTTGCCAGAAAAACATATACAAGGACTTTCAACACTGACCTGAATGACATGTTACAATGCTTCACTATCTGACAATCTAACCTTTTTACTCTAATTTAGTTTAGTTCACAGCTTTATAGGAAGTAGATAAGGATCAGGATTTCTGGGGCTGATCACCAATAACTGGAAGCAGTATCAGTCAAAAGCAATCACAGATCACTGGGTCAATTTGGATGCTTCTATTTACCATGAAGAGTTAATTATTTAACTATTCTTAAAACAACAAGTCATACTTGATATTTGATTGGCCGTTGTAGAGACCACCGATTTAACTATTTGAAACATATATCAGCAAGTCAAGTCAAGAGAAAGCTAAAGAAAACAAATAGGGTTTTGAAATGTTCTTATTAGGACTGTCAAGTGATTAAAAAATAATCTAATTAATGACACGCTCTGTAATTAATTAATCGAAATTAATTGCATACATACATTTTTGCTGTGAAAGTATTTAAACAATTTCAGTTCAAATGAATTTTGGCAGATGTGTCATAGTAAAGCTGCTGGATGTTGGACACAATTGTCCCCCTGTCCTCTACCACCCAAACTGGTCTGTAGTCCATTGCAATCCATTTTACAAGGGAGTTAGTTAGTCAGTCACAGGTAGACTTACTCAGTTTGAACACCTGGTGGAGTGTGGCTTAACGTGGCTGGCTGCTAGCGCTAGCATCAGAGACTGTGCTATATAGATATTACAGGCTTGAAGTACTTGATGTTATGAAAATCCCTTATTGCAGAAACTGTAGAGAACGGCATTGCTGTCAACAGTTCCATCTGGGCATTGTTTTTAAATGTAAAATGTTCCATTCACAAGGCCAAGCAGTGTCGTCTTGAATGCCTCTGTCATATGGCAAAGCCACTGTGGCGTTCAATGACACACCAGGTAAAAGGGCAATTCATTATTTTGACAGCCCTAGTTCTTATTCTTTTGTTTATTTCTTTTAAAGATTTTTTTCTGAGCATTTTGCCTTTAATGATAGTAGAGCTGAAGACTGACAGGACAGCTGGGACAAAGAAGGGGGGTGACATGCAGCAAAAGGGCGCAGCTTGGAATAGAACCTGGGCTGCTGCAAAGGATTTAGCTACTATCGGGCGCACACCCTACCAGGTAAGCTGTTGCTCAAAAATGACATTCGAATATTCCTTCTAAAAATAACTCATAGGTTCGAACCATTCGAATATTTTTTTTCTCGCATTATATCCACAAGAGGGCAAACTAATACAAGGAAACATACTTGTATATGAAACATAACTACCTGTAGGTATTTTTATTTCCACATAAACGTCTTTGAAAACATTTACATACCTACACATTAAAACACATAAAACAATTATCTATAACATTACGTTATAAACGACCACGGACCTCTCGCTCGCCCCCCCTCTCTGACCCGTGACCACACCGCCCGCGGAAGCGCTGCGAATAGCCTCGAAGCACCGGACCGTGACCGGCTCGCGCCCTGCAGCGATTGTTTCGGCGTCTGGTCTATTTTCTGCGCGAGCTGCGAGCGAATGTGTCAAGCCGGGTGACGGCGACAACAGCTGGGAGCAGAACCGCTTGTCGACCAGCGTGGAGAAATGCGCGTCTGATGCCAACGCCCACTCGCAAAGAGGACAGCTGCTGTGGTGTTTTTTTTCTCTCTCCACAATCAAATATCAATTTTCACATTCGAAGGTCCATTTTTTTTTCAAATTTGAATTTAAATTCGAATTCAGAATATTCGTTGACAGCCCTAGAGGTCACCCCCAGGTGCTTTTATTCTGATATAGTTTGATTTTACGCTGATAGAATTTCAGGGTAGTATCTGCTGCCAGCCCTCTACTTTAACTGTTTTCACTGTTCTTACTTTACAGCAACATGTGGCGTTCCAGCAGGCAGCACAGCCTTGGAGAGGTGATGTGAACATCAGCTTTGATGTCAGTGAGAAAAGTGACTACAGAAAAGTTTAGAGAATATGAGTAACTCAACAGAACCAGATGTGCTGATAAATAAAATGTCTCACTCAGGCAGTGACACTATCAACTTACCTTATCTAGTTTGGCCTCGATCTCCACCACCTCCGTCTCCACCTCATCAATATTTGCCCTGAAACACAAAAAGCAAGAGAAGCCATTAGAGCACGTGTGGTGATGTGTTACTGTATGACTGAAAGAAATTCCACCAAGGTCATTTATCTAAGTTGGAAAACAGACGTTCAACAATCTGCGCGATTTCCCACGTTCTGAGAAAGCACAAGGACACTCCATAAATCTGTGAGTGACAGATGGGAGTCTTCGCACGGAGCCAAACCCAGACATGTTCGAGCAGCGACAGGCCAGAGTTTGGGTGTGCTGTAAGTGAGCGAGACGCCGTCGTGGGAGCAGTTCTGCACTGTCAAAACAAAGTGACAGACGAGGTTTCGACACGGTGAGGGGGGAACACGGCTGTCTGGCACATCTCGAGCCCAGTACTTTCACTGTCAACACCACCACCACTAATACCACACCCAACCACACCAGACTGAGGTGTGATTTACACCCAGAGGCTCACAGCTGCATGACGTAGCCCCTGAATGCACCACTCCCCAGCTTCTCCACATGCTGGTGTCAATAAGGAGTGTGTGTATGAACAGATCTATATCCACTGCCTTGATAGCCTGCTGCTAATCCTGCCATTATCTGCTTCCTGCTGCACAGTGGGACCTTATGGCTTCATTAGAGTATAAATATGATCCACACACGCCCTCTGCATATAATCACAGCTCTGCATATCTCAACTGAATCTTCCTATTTCTGGCCACACTGGCGTTGTAGCTCAAGGGACAGACATGTCGGTCAGTTGGTCAGTCCGCCAGCTTCGTCCAGACTTAAATATCTCAACAACCATCTGCTGGACTGTCATTAATTTCTCTACAGACATTTATGCCCCCCAGAGGATGAATCCTCCTGAGTCTGGTGACGCCTTCACTTGTCATCTAATGCCACCATGAGGTTGATATTTTTGGCTTTTGGTGAAATGTCTGGACAATTGTTGGATGGATTGCCTTGAAATTTGGTTCAGACCTTTATGGTGCCCAGAGGACGACTTCTAATACATTGTGAGATCACTTTATTTTAGTAATAATTGACCATGATAGCATGTCGGGCAGGAAATCCAAAGTGTGGGATCATTTTGAGAAGGTGAAGGACGAACCCAAGGTGATATGTAAACTCATCTTCATTGGTCGACTACAAACATGACGTATCATCTAAAACATGGAAGTAGCTACATGCCCATTAGCCCACAGCGTCATTAACAGGCGGCTCGCTCAGTGTGTGATGTGCACTTGTAGATAAAATATAGGCCTATATTAATGAAGGTTCATTAGTACGGTTTTGTATTTCTCTGTAATGTAGCACAGTGTTAACAATGTTACTGATACTATTCTTTCTCACACCTTCAATTCAAACCATTGTGTTGCCCCGCCCACAATATATCATTTAATAATTACATTAACATCATAAACATGTGGGCGACTAGTCGACTAATGGCCCTAAATGATGACTACTTACAGGTGTCATTCTCGCCTATCATGACGAGCTACGCTACAGTGTGTGATTCTGCAGATGCATCCAGGTGAGGCAAAACTTTGCATTAAAATAATCATGAGTTTTTCTGTCAATCTTTCATGTTACATTAAGCTTTTATCCGTTAAAAAAACAATTAAGTACATGTCATCACAGTTCTCCTCTTAATAGTTACGTCTTATTTACTTCGTGTCTTGTTTTCCCCTTGAAAAAATAGGTCACCAAATATTTTTCGTCATCATTTTTGATGACAAAATTAGCATCAAGCCCTTCTGAAGAAGCACACTGCCAGTTTAAGACTAGTTCTCCATTTGATATCAAGGAAACATGAATCACAGCACGACACACAGACGCAGCAGTTCTGTGATGATGAGAGTATCTGTGGCATATATCGGCCACCACTGGCAGGATATAAAACTTGTATCTCTGTCTCATCTCTTTCTCTCTGGCCTTGGGTGGATTAGCCTGCTTGGCTGAAGCTGCAGCGAGCTCAGGGGGGACAGAGGATGGCACGTGGTCTCGTCCTCCTCTCCACCCCCACAGCTTTTACTCTCAACATCTCCTTCCATAAGGATCGGAGGAAGTGAGGAGGGGGGGGGAGAGGAAAATACTCCAGAGAGGAAATATCTGTCAGAAGCTCCGACTCATGCAGAATGGAAACATACATTACCAAAATAATCAATACCATATTATTCCACGTGTGGACGCGTGTTATTGTAACCTCAACTGATCTCCTGCTGCACAGCCTTCAGCTAACCACACCCAGGGATAGTGTTTCTGTGAGCAAAGCTGTTTTCATTGCTGATGTCATTTTTGAAACTGCCCGTTTCATTTGATAATGCAGAGCTTAGCAGGCTCTTTCCAGAGGGCTCGTCTCCTCAGGCCTTTCAGCAGCAGCCAACTGATCTTAAAGTGTTATTTTTTTATATCTTTTATTTTGAATGCCCACAGAAACTCAACGCAGTCCTTGAATGACCCATTTAAATTAACAAAAAGCTGATACAAACACATTTTATGAAGATCAACTGCAGTCTAAGGTTGCCCCATGATGATCCGTAGTAAAACATGTAATTAAATTATACATTTAATACTGTGTTTATTTTGAAATAAAATCGTTATTCAATGGACCATACTGGTGCCTTACCGCCAGCACATTTTCCAAAACATATTACCAGTGTTTTGATCTGATCTTCTTGCTTTCAGTTAATTTCAGTGTGGTATAAATATCATGTAGAAGCCTCTGACGTGCTTTAAACGGGTATTCAAGGATCTATTAGAGATGCACGATACTGGATTTTTTGCCGATATCCAATATGCCGATATGTAACAACCCATTTGACCATTAACCGATACAGATGTCCACTTTTTCCCACCTAATTTAAGGGATCATCAAGTCTCTTCTGCATATTATGCATGCATACTCTTATCATGACGGCCCATCAGCAGATGGATACATGAAATACAATACTTTTCAATGTATGTAATAGAAAAGGCATGTTGGACAGTCCATAGGGACTTGGGTTAGGAACCGGAGGGTCGTCGGTTCAAGTCCCTGTCCGGACCAAATGCAGAGCGTGGACTGGTGGCTGCAGAGGTGCCAGTTCACCTCCTGGGCACTGCCGAGGTGCCCTTGAGCAAGGCACTGAACCCCCCAACCGCTCGGGGCGCCTGACCAAGGCAGCCCCCTCACTCTGACATCTCTCCACTTTGTGCATGTATAGGTCCTGTTTGTGCATGTGTGTGTATTTCGGACCTGTGTGTTGATGACAACGGATTGAAAAATTGAATTTCCTCTCAGGGGGATTAATAAAGTACATAAAATAAAAATAAAAACATTTAAATAAAATATGTACGGCGAGATTATTATTTAAATTTTTCCTTTTTGATGAGTTTTTTTTTCATGACCCAAATTTGTATTTTATTTAATCTTTTTCACTAAAAAAAGATAATAGGTATATAAAAATAGTCAGTGTTTGTGCTTATATAGCAGGGCTTTATTTTGTAGTTTCTAGTAGAACAAATGTTTCAGTTAGATGTAAGGACCAAATATTATCTCTCTAAAGAAGGCCAACTTTCTTCACCACTTTATTCTGCATTACAACAGAGTGCAGTAGAGTTAAAGATATCATTTAGATGTAACTTACAATGTAACGTATGAATATATACAAACTAATACTACACAAAGCTCAACTGTTCAGTGCAGTGGTATCCAAACTTGGAGGTCAGGACCAAGCAGGAACCTCCAAGGCTGAAAAATGAAGCCAATGCTGAAGTGCCAAAAACTGCAGTTCCTCTAATGGCCACTTGAGGCTGGCTCCGTGAGCGAGTCAATCCCCATAGACCTCCGTGTTAAAGTGCCCAACTTTATAGCAGAAATAAACAAGTTTACAGCCTGTACTAAAAATGTTTTGATCTCTATAGCGATCTGTATTTTACTGAGGCTTAAAGTTATCTAATTTGAGAGTAACAGGCTATCTATGAGGCGTCATCACAGTCTATAGCCCCTTTCATACTGCCTGTTCAAGGTGGGAGTGTCACGCTAAATTGTCTCACCTTAAAACCAGCAGTTGAGGTAGTAACAGCGCTGAATCAACCTATGTATAAAGGGGACAGCCAGCAGGACGGGATCATGTGCAGGATGGGTGTAACATTTTGACGACGTGTTATGTGTGAGACCTACCGCTAGGAGATTTAAAAAGCAGTAGCAGTTAGCAGCTAACTCAAGGGAGGACAACAGCAACCGAAAATGTCCACAAACTGCAGGACAATGAGGTCAAGGAGCTTCCTGCCCTCCGAGCAGAGGACGAGGTCAACTGCTATATGACAGGAACTGTTAATGATTGGTCAATGACAAAACATCACGACTACACAAGATTAGTCTTCGTCCCTTGTAAAACAATGGAGAGTTTATCTTTTCAAATTTTTGGGAACATCACTCCTTGGTTTAATTGCTCACAGTTCATAGCTACAGCCAAAAAACTGGGAACACATGCCTAGATTCTTTATAACCCTGCTATAAACCCATTTAAGAGAGCTGTATGTGTGTGGTGAGGTTAAGGACATGATTGTGTAAATTATGTTTCAAACTGTTTTAACGTCTTGCCAACTGCAGAGGTGTGAGACAAAGTTTAATAAATTAAAATTCATGGCAATAAAAAGGCTACATTTCGAAGAAACGCTGCTCAATACGCAGCTGAACCAGTGTGGCTCAACACAGTGACAGCCCAGCTCGCTGCTCCAGATGTGCGGACTCCGGCTCATGGGACAGCTGCTCCCGCTGAACCCCCCCTCGGGCTGTAACCCCCCACTGCCCTGTCTCACTGCACATGACTCCCATAATGGATGCACATGGCGCCCCGGGCCAGTAGCCAAGGCAACCATCTCCTAAGTGGGCCGGAGAGGTCCCCGATGTGCTTGTGAGTTGACCCTTATTCACACCACGGGAGAGCGGAGAAGCTGAAACATTACTCTCTTTACTCATGGCTACTGTGACAAGCAGTGACCATCATCACACCATTAAAACCTCATCAGGAGACTGTT